GGTGGGACCCCATCTCTACAAAAAGTACCAAAAGTTAGCTGGGCATGGTGGTGCGTGCATGTAGTCCCAGCTACTCAGGAGGCTGAGGTGGGAGGATCAGCTGAGCCTAGGAAGGTCGAGGCTGCAGTGAGCCGTGATCACACTACTACACTCCAGCCTGGGGGACAGAGTGAGACCCTGTCTCAAAAAAGTGGATGTTGGACAGAGAGGAGAGAAGGAAACCCAAAATACCTAGTGCCCTTCCTGTAGGACAGTCATCTGGTTGTCTGGACCGACAGGGACAGATTTAGGCTTGGTCCAAGCAAGAATGGCCCAAATTTCCAAAATTGAGAGCTGCTACCCTAAATGAGGTAGTGAGTTCCTGGTCTCCGGGAGGTGTGCAAGCTGAGTCCGGATACAGTTCACTGGGGAATGCTGCAGGGGAGGTGACACCTTCCCTGGAAAAAAGGTTGGTTGGACCAGGTGACCACCCCCCGAGCCCTGCCTCAAATCCCTCCCAGCCCTGAGAGTCTGGGTTTCTGCCCTGGCCCTGAGCACGGAGCCCGCCACCATCCACCCTGCCCCTGGCTTCCAGCCATGACCGGCTGCTTTGTCCTTGAAGGCAAGACCAGTATGAAGAGCTGAAAGACGAGGCCACCTCCTGCAGCCTCCACAGGTCGGCCCACAATGCCACGCACGCCACCTACACCTGTCACATGGACGTATTCCACTTCATGGCCGACGACATTTTCAGTGTCAACGTCACAGACCACTCTGGCAACTACACCCAGGAGTGTGGCAGCTTTCTCCTGGCTGACAGCAGTGAGTATCCTGGGACCCCGGGCTTAGGGTGGTGCTCAGTCTTAGCTTACCGCAGCCCCGATCTCTTCAGGCTCAGGTGATCCTCCCACCTCAGCCTCCTGTGTAGCTGGGACAACAGGTGTACACCACTACGCCCAGATAATTTTTTTAGTAGGGACGGGGGTCTTGCCATGTTGCCCAGGCCAGTCTCGAATTCCTGGGCTCAAGTGATCCACCCGCCTTGGCCTCCCAAAGTGCCGGGATTATAGGTAGGGGCTGGGCCCCCTACTCCCTGCCCTCTGGGCCAGCTCTCCTCCTTCCACCAGATCTGACCTGGCCTATGTCCTCACCACACCTTAGAGTTCTATTTTGAGTTGCGCTATTTTTTACTAATGTGTGAAAGGTTGATACTAGGTTTGAGAGGTATGGAAGGAGCTAGGCTGGGACCCGGGACTTCCGGGTTCGTGTTCCGGCTCAGCTCTGCCCATCTGTGTGACCATGGATGAGGCACACCTACCTCTGGGACAGCCTCCCTGTTTGTAGAGCAAATGTCTTTTTTACCCTGACCCTCTGGGATCCCGACTCCATAATGAGGTGAATGGAGGACACTGAGTCACAGGAAAAAACCCTCCTGGGTTTTTTCCCCTTCATAAGCTCCAGGGAGGCCTGGAATTTCCCTCCAGGCTAGAGGTAGAGGGACGTCCCAGGGGCAGGGGGGCCTGGTGGGTGGGAGCAGTTTTATCTGTGAGTTCA